AAAAAAAGTAAAAAAAAAAAAATAGAGGAGAGAAAGAGAGTTCTAAGCAGTTATGAGTTTAACAATATAATAAAGAAATCTTAACTTTTAGTTTTGGACTTATGCAAGTCAGCAGCAGCTAGCAGGCCTTGGTTATTCTCTCTTGTGATGTTAAGGCGTTTTGTTTCTATCTGAACAATGAAGCAAAAGCCAAAGTTTCCTCTTCACTTCATGCATATATAACTCCCTAACTCAATTGAATGAATCCGCCCATCGTTCATGACTTTTCATACTGTTGCTGGCTTTAATTTGATTCCTCGATTACCATGTTTCACACGTTCCCTGCAAGTGCCATGAATTTCCTTTCCTTTTCCTTCCTCTTCCCTTCAGCCAATCAATTTCCTGTTTGAGATGTGTTTAGTCCAGGACCACCGCAGATGAAATATCAGCAAAACTTTCATGGCTGCCAAAAAGGCCTACATCAAGTGGGGTCTACAAATCTTTCATGAGTCTCCAATGTTTCCATGATTTAATCTTCATGGTTGTTATATTGTCAATATTAAGAATGTTTATGTAACAATTTTATAAAGTTTGAATACGTACCGTAATCTCATCTATAATTAATTTCAAATACGTGGTTAGGGAATACCAAATGCCTTTCGTGGTTTGTTAGACTAAGCTTATTTTTTTTATTTGTGGCTCCAAAAATGGCTGTTATGTAGTCAATTATAAGATTGTTACATAATCTTTTAAAGATTGAATACAATAATGCATTGATTCTAGACAAGATACTTGGCCGACGCAATAAGCTTAATTTATAGTTCTTTATGGTTTCTATCTAATCCACTATGAAAAACAATTTAACGGTGAAACACATTATCACATCAATAGTGAGTAGAGACAATTTGAAGGAGATAATAACTTAATTGGCTCACATGATAAATTATATTTCTAAAAACAAAAAAAAAAGGGTTTTAAAAGTGGTTTAAGGAGAGATAAATTCATAATATCATTGATGTTCATCTTTTATGTAGAGTCATTATAAGAGTCGAATCACTTTATTTAATTTCAGATTAAATAGTATAACTTAATTATGAAGAAAAAAAGAGAGGATTAACTGAAATCTACCTCTTGTTTATGCAAAGAAAGTTCAGCATATGGAATAGCATATTTTGGGAGACGTTTATAATATAAAAAAGACAGAAAAACAGAGCCATATTTCAGCATTTGGGAAAACTTGAAACCCTTTTTATTAGTGATTTGATATGAAGTAGAGATTTGGATGACACTCTGGACCTTGGGCTTAGGACCTTTTGGGTCTGGATATGCACATTTTTATAAATGGGTTGGTTTTTGAGGCAAAAGTGGAGAACTAATGAGAAAATACTTGAAAATAGGCCCCTATTAAAAAAAAAAACTAATAGACAAAGGGCCTTACCCGAGTGGGCTCTCACTTAGCAAGGGCCTGCCACAGCCGAGGTGAAACAAGGCACATGACATTTGTGAATACTTTTTAGTTGTATACATGAGCATTCAAATAAGTCCCTCACCTATTATGACAATCAAACAATCTCTTAAAACTTTTATTTTCATTTACATAAGTTCTTAAGACTAATGAAAAGATAATAATAGTTAGTACCAATACCAACTATCATTTTTTACTTATGTAGTATATGATATGCCATGTTGACATGATTAGGTGATAGTTAGGTGGCTGATGATGTAGCATAGATGTCAATTATACCTGGCCACAGCATATGCCATGTAGACAAAAAGAGACAACTAGTGTTGAAACTTATATCAATTACCTTTCCATTAGTTCTAAAGGTTTATTTGATCTATTTTAAGAATTTGTTAGAATGCAATAAAAAATTAAGGGCTTATTTGAATAATTGTGTATGATATAGTGGCCTTTGAAGAGTTTATGCCATATTTTTAACGTTATGATTTAGTTACAAATATTTTCGACAAGAGAAAAAAGAAAGTAAAATAAGAATAATAATAATGTTTTTGTTATCATAATAGTTTTATTGGCCTAACTTCCTTATAATTCAGTGGTAAAAAATAAAAATTCCTTATACTTTTCTTTCCAAGCATGCCATAAAAGAGAGAAGCAAAATAGTATACAGTAGAAGGGTAGTCAATGCTCAATCCTTGAAAAAGAAAAAGAAACTACTTCCACTAATTGTTTACCAAAAAAAGGATGACAAAGATACATAGCATTTAACAAATATTAGTCCACAAATTAAGAAGCGAAAAAAATTCATAGGATCAAGATAAAAAATTCACTACAATTTTGCTGCAAAAAATGAATCCTAATCTTGGTAAGTATTTTGACAATGTGAATTGCCATACTGGAAATGTGCATGTTGTTGATGGTACTATAATTGTTGATGATATTATAGACGTAAATGCTAATGTAAATGTTGTTGCTAAAGTAAATGTGAATGCTAATGTAAATATTGTTGATAAAATGGTAGGACCTAGTTTAGGCACAAGTAAAGGTAGAGTTGGGGAAGGAAGTTCTAGCGGTATAAGGTTTGTTGACATTGGTAACTGCAAAGGTGATGGTAGAGTTGGGGAAGGTAGTTCAGTTGCTATTTACGTTAGTAGTTACTCAAGTAAGGATTCGAGGGGCACAAATGTGGCAGAAGGAATGGATGTGTCTAGTGAGAATATAAATTGGATGCTTAAGACTGAGAGAAAAAAGATATAAGCCCATCTCAAGGCAATTCTCTCTTCAGGAAGATAATGATGTTGATGGGTTATCTAATATTGGTAGTGATGTAAATAAGGAAAATCAAGCAAGCTCTAACTTTGATAGGAAAGATAGAGCTATTAATAGGTCAATGAGAGGCATCATTTACACACTTGATGAGTGTCGGAAGGTAAGGCTTGCTGAAAACATGTTATTTAATAGTGTGCGGCACTTTAGGGAGGTGATGATAGATTACATAATTTAAGAAATGATTGAGTTATAGAGGGCTAAGAATGAAAAGACAAGGCATAGGGCATACTGTAAGGGGAATAAGTGTGAATGGATGGTTCATGCATCCCTTCGTTTGGATATGAAGACTTTTAAGTCTTAAGGAAATTCTCTATTGAGGAAGATAATGATATTAATGGGCTATCTAATATTGGTAGTGACATGTAAGAGGGAAATCAAGTAAGCTCTAACTTTGATAAGAAATGTAGAGTTATTAATAGGTCAATCAGAGGCATCCCTTACTTACTGAATAAGTGTGGGAAGGTGAGGCTTGTCAAAAACATGTTGTTTAGCAGTGCTCAACACTTTAAGGAAATGATGATAGATTACATAATTCAGAAAAAGATTGAGTTATGTAGGGCTAAGAATGAAAAAACAAGACAAAGGGTATATTGTAAGGGGAATGAGTGTGAATGGATGGTTCATATATCCCTTTGTTTGTATATGAAGACTTTAAAGATTAAAAAGCTTATCGAATAACATAGTTGCATTAGAATCAGTAATAACCATTTTACTATAACTATTATCTGGATAACAAAAAAGCTAGCTCCTTTGTTGCATTTTAAGCCCAATATGTCATATAACTTGATGCAGCATGATTTGATTCAAAATTATAGTGTGAATGTGAACCTTAAGTAGCTTTATGGTGCTAAAAAAAGACCTAGAAAAAAATCTTAAGGGACGCATGGTAGGTCATATTCATACCTGCATTTGTATGCTTAAATGGTGAGGAATACAAATTTTGGTAGCATTGCCATCATGCAATTAGAGAGGCTTGAAATTAATATGTACGTTACCTTTAAAAAGATTTTTCTATCTTTCGATGCTATGAAGAAAAGGTTCATTGATGCATGTAGGCTTTTTATTAGTGTTGATGGCTACCACCTTAAAAGGCTTTATGGAGGAGCAATGTTATTTACTATAGCTATTAATGGTAATTATGAACTTTTTCCTATTACTACTGTTGTTGTGGAGTTGGAAAATGGTTGATGTGATGGTTATGGTTTTTGCATCTGTTTAATACTATCATTGATGACTTCAACAGACTATTGGTGGTGATGAGTTGTGGCCAAAAGGTCAATTGATCCATTGACTATTTTCCATTAATTATTTCATTTCATTGACTTATTATTTGCCTAATTAATTGTTTCAAATTTCTTAAATGGAGAGGGCTAAATGACATCATCACATAAATCATTCCCAATGCAAGTCAAATATGGTGTGCTAGGTACTCAAACAATAATTTCAAATAGAGGTTTATGGGATTGGATTTGAAGGTTGAAGGTTGTTAAAGGTTACAATGAGTGGGACTAGAATAAGGCAATAGTGAAGATAAAAGGTGAAAATGGTGATGCTTACAACTAGTTGATGGAAAATTCACTAACAATGTCGGAAAATTACACATTTGACTTTAATGTGAAAAGTGATTATGTCACCAACAACATAGTTGAGAGCTTCAATCTGCATGGAAGACCCAAGAAAAATTTAAAAAAAGGAACTTAAGGA